CTCAAGCTTGGCAGTTGTCTTCATTCTGAACAAGGGGCACATGTTATTCCCCTAGAGATTACCTGATCCAACTTCTATGATTCTCTCTCTTTCTCTCTCATTTCCAATACTGGAGCTAGAGCCTGGGCCTGGCATGTGCTAGGAAATACTGAGCCATCCCAGCCTCTCTGGTCCTCTTGACGCTCTTTTCCCTTCCCCCACCAGGAGAGCATGTGAATGGGAAACTAGCAGAGGTCATCCCTCCATCTAGGTATCCACCTTGGGACCATCCTACTTTCACTAGATACCTGACGGGGGATACTGCCCAGGACCCCTGGAGAGCAACCCTGATCTGCAGGGACAATAAATGACAAGGGTCATTTCTCAGCTGGGTGGAGAGACACAGGAAGAGAAAACACTTGGGAACATATTTTTAGTGGAAGAAGTAATCAACAGGCCCGAGAGGTTGGCCGGGTCATTGTAAAGGGAATGAGAAACTTGATAAACACATATAGCACTGCTTCTTAAAAACTGATCACCTCATAGGTAACCCATGTCCATGGTCCAAAAAGTATTCTGTAAAACATAGGCTTTCTCCTGCGATGACTTCTTGCTTTCTATTGCAAACTCTTCCCTTCCATAGCAGTGTCTTATATAGCCATCCAAAGACGGTCTGCAGGAATTCATATATTCTTTCAAACACAAGTAGTAGCCTACTATACACATTGTTTTGAACTTCGCTCCTCTTCTAATAGTGTACCCCACAGATAGCGATCTCGTTCTTTAAAAAAAAAAACCCAGCTGCAGGTTGGTGGAAGTAGCTGGGGGATAAAGTGCTTGCCCAGCACTGTGAGGTCCTGGCTCCCATTCCCAGTTCTGCAAAATAGTAATAAAAATTATGATGAATAAAAAGAGTTGAGTAAAAATAAACTAAACCACAGCTTCATGGCATTTCATGACGGGCACACCATGGTGTAAGTGCGCTGTCTTCTATTGATGGGTCTGTGGATAAAGATTTAAGGCTTCCCCATCTCTATGGGATCCTGGAAATCCCCAGGATAGGAGAGTAGCCAGTTCTGCTTCCTTTCTGGAGGTGTGTGAGTTGAGTGAAATGGAAATAAGACCACCCACCTTCTTCCCTGGCTGGGGGCTGAAGGTGACAGCTGTGGAGACTGGGAGAGTTGGGCACACCCAAGATGCTGGGACCTTCCTATTTGCCTGGAACTCTTAGATCAAAATTTCAACCTCTTCCACCTGTTTTGCAGGAACCAGACCTTCCCACTGACGATGAGATGATAATGTTGAGGTGCCTAGAGACCTTTGACGATGAAGATTTGTAATGCAGAAGGATTGGAAGGGGAGAGGACTGACGGAGTGTGGGAGTTTCTGAGTTTGAATGTTAGCAGATCTGGTGATACCTGCCTTGGACTTCCAGGGCTCTTTGGAGGGCACTGTCCCAGAATCGTTCTGATGGTTTTAGTTTCTGATTAGTATAAAGTACAAGATAAGCAAGGCCTTGTGTTGGTCTTTCAGGGTGTTTGGTATAAGGGGCTAGTCTTCTCCAGGACAATCCTCTCTGTCCCTACTCAGGAGGTGCCAGGTCAGGAGAGGCCAGTCCTTGGGCCTTTCAAGAAGAAAATAGGCAAGATCTGCCCCTAGGGGTGGCATAGCACCAGGCCCTGGACTCAGGGCATTGCTCTGATGGGTTCTGGAATTCTGGAGCCCACCTACTCATCCTGCATGTTCTGGAAACCCAGTAACAGTGCACACTTCAATCTCAATCCTGTACTGTACAACATCAGGTAGACCCAGATACATCTGCTTTTTCAAGTATGTATACCTGAATGGGTGCTGTAGTGAAATTCCAGAGTTCTGAAAACTTTCTAGTGAAGGTCCTGGGCAGAGGATATATAAACATCCCTGGGCTTATACACTTAGGATAAGAAAGAATTTTGTGTCAAATTGATTAGGCCATGGTACCCAGACATATGGTCAACCATTATTTTAGATGTTTCTATGAAGGTATTTTTGATTTGCTTTGTTTTTTAATTTTTAAAATTTATTCTAATTTGTTATATATGACAGAAGAATGCATTTCAATTCATAGGACACATATAGAGCACAATTTTCCATGTCTCTGGTTGTCTTCATACATGTACTTAGGGTAATGATGTCCATCTTTCCTACCCCCATACCCTCTCCCTTCCCATCCCTCCCTTTTGCCCTATCTAAAGTCTGTCTATTCCTCTCATGCTCCACCCCCCATCCCCATTATGAATCAGCATCCTTTTATCAGAGAAAACATTTGGCATTCAGTTCTTTTGGACAGGCTTACTTCACTTAGCATTATATTCTCCAACTCTATCCATTTATCTGCAAATGCCATGATTTTATTCTCTTTCATGCTGAGTAATATTCCATTGTGTGTGTGTATGTATGTATGTATGTATATATATATATATATAATTTTTTATCCACTCATCTACTGAAGGGCATCTAGGTTGCCTCCACAATATAGCTATTGTGAGTTGAACTGCTATAAACATTGATGTGGCTATGTCCCTGTAGTATACTGTTTTTAAGTCCCTTGGGTATAAATCGAGGAGAGGGATAGCTGGGTCAAATGGTGGTTCCATACCCAGTTTTTCAAAGAATCTCCATACTGGTTTCCATATTGAATGCACCAATTTGCAGTCCCACCAGCTGTGTATGAGTGTGCCTTTTCCCCACATTCTCACCAACATTTATTCTTGTTTGTATTCTTAATAGCTGCCATTCTGACTGGAGTAAGATGAGACCTTAAGAGTAATTTTTATTTGCATTTTTCTAATTGCTAGAGATGTTGAACATTTTGTCCTATATTTGATGATTGATTGTATATCATCTTCTGAGAAGTGTCTGTTCAGGTCCTTGGCCCATTGATTGATTGTTTTTTTTCTTTATGGTGTTAAGATTTTTGAGTTTGTGCAGGTATTTTCTTGAAGATGAGATTAACATTTAGATCAGTAGATTTTTAATAAAGTTGATAACCCTCCATAATTCACCCAATAGAAGGACTTAATAGAAAAAGACTGACTCCCCATAAGAAGAGGAAAATCTACTAGCAGACCTCTGCATCACCTGAGGCTCTTCCCTACCAACAGCCCAGCTTGCAGATTTTGCATTTACACCTCCACCATAGCATGGCCCATTCCTTAAAATAACTTTCCCTCCTCTTTCCTTGGTATATCCTATTGGTTCTGTTTCTCTGGCACACCACGACTAGCATACTAGGTGTGCAGAGAAATGGTTTCACTGGCTCTCTACGGTTTATAAGTCCTGATAACAGCAACTCCCCTCCACAGAAGGCCTCCCAGTGCTTTTGCTGTATTTCCTCATGAGAGCTGACATGCAGGTTAAGTCTGAGGATCTCAACTCGGTCCTACCTGACATCAGGGCCCAGCTCTTAAGGTACCATCCTGTGAAGCATGAGCTGACCTTCAGAGACTCCTACTGAGGATATGCAGGGGTGTAGCTTTGCCTTGCACTTCACAGTTTACAAATGACAAAATGAGGCGGGCACATGGGGCTTTCCAGGCAGCTCCTCAGCAGGGCCTTTGTGCTCAGAAGTGGTCTGAACTTGCTTTGGAAAAAAAGGACAGGCGGCTCTTAGGTCTGCTACCCCCTCAGCAAGCCCCTGGGAGTGCATGGAAAAGAAGAAATGAGTCTTCTCAGGCGCCTGTGCCATCGGCCTTCAGCAACCTGTGCCAGCTCAGGCCACCTCGTCCGACTAGGCCCAGCCCTGACTTTGTTTAGCCCAAGGTTGTGATGGAGTCCTGAAACAGAATGCACCAGAGGCCCCTGGGCATGGTGGACCTAAGCAGAAGGTGGACTATCCCTTCTCTCATAGCCATCAGCTGGGTGATGTCCCCACCTCAGTCCTCAGCCCCAACAGCCCTCTGCTTCCCTCCCTCTCTCCTGCAGGCCTTATTGCGATGGGTGCAGACCAGGATGTATTTTGTGCATAAACCCCATCACCTGGTACTCATTTCCCCTTCCTCCCCTCCAAGGACTCTTCCCACACCTGGCACGTATCTTCCTGTACCTGCCTGTTCCCTTTCTGCGTCAATGTGTCTGGCTCAGGGTTCTGCCCAGAAACAGACCAGCAGACTATGTAGAGAGGCCAACAGATTTTCTTAAAGGATCTGGTTCTCACAGCTATAGGGACTGTGAGTCAGATCTGTATGGAAGGCCAGCAGGAAGGGGTTGATGCTGAAGTCATCAGGTAGAATTTCTTCTCCTAAAATTCGCAGTTCTTCTCTAGGGCCTTCAGCTAATTGGGCGAGTCCCACCTATGCGATCCAGGGCGATCTCTTTAATTTAAAGTCAATTGAGGGGATGCATTAGCCACATCTATAAAACACCCTCACAGCCCCCCACTGAGATGAGTGTTTCGTTGGATAGCAGCATACTGTAGCTTGCCAAGTTGACACACAAAGCCGACTAGGGGAGCTTTATATTGTCCTAATAGATCTCCAGGGAGAGAGCTATTCTTACCTCCATTTGGCAGAAGAAGAGACAGCACACTTGGCTAAAGCCAAAAACCAATCAAAAAGAGAACTTCAGATTGCCTCACCTCTGACTCTGTTTTGTGCCTCCCACCCCCCAATGAATTAGTGACTGGGGGGGACTTTTATTTTTTTAAAGAGGAAAAATGTTAAAAGCTCCAGTTGGATTAGGACATAGAAGTGTGAAACCAGCCCTCAGAAGTCACAACACCATCCACCAGCATCACCTCTAGGTCAGAGATGAAGGGAGACCAGGAAGGTATAATGGTGGTAGAGGAGGTGATGGAGGGAGGTCAGGAGGCTTCAGCCACCATATTATCTGGATGGGGCATGCAGATTCTGACAATGCCCTGGGCATTCCTGGAAACCTTGAGCTGTGCCAGGTCAGTGTTTACTGAGTGCGGATTGCATGGGCCAGAGGGTGATTGGCAGGGCGTCTGATTGAGCTCCCAGCCTGACGTCTAGCTTGAGTAGCTCAGCTCCGCATGGTACTGATTTCATTATGCTGATGACCTCATGTGCGTTTGGCCATCAGCTCTCACCCAGCAGCTACTGGGGAGGGGGGAAGGTACTCCTCTGACCTTGACTCTGAACAAAATGGGCCTTTCTGTCTTTATGGAAATGTCGAAAATCTACCCCTTCTATACATGCTTCTCACAAAACTGCCTTTCCCTGGAGCTCTGGAACCACGTGTTCTGACAGAAAAAGGGCTGCCCAGGGAAGCCGGGAAACTTTCCCGAAGGACGCTGCTCTCCTGGCCTGCTTTGTCCTGCGCTGGCTCCCTGATGACAGCACACAATAGGGATAAAGCACAGGAACATGGACTTGGAAAGCTGAGCCTGGCTGGCAGCTGCTTAGTGAGAATACGGGGAACTCTCAGAAGACCTAGAGGCATCAACCTAAGGAAAAGAATAAATGGAACCGCCTAACTGGACAGGATTTAAAGGGCCACAGGGGCAGAAGGGGCAGGAGGGAGGACATGCCTGCTCTTGAATGATTTGAGAGGTGACCCGGGTCCCCTAGAGCAGCTGAGCCCAGGTCCTGGACTTGCAGCAGAGTTACTACAGCATTTTGTACAGTCTGCCTCTATTTCTCTTAAAATAATATTTAAGCCATGATGCCACACACTCACAAGAAATCAGACTTGAAAAACAAGTGGAAGGAATAGCAGGTGTGTATGAAGCCACAAATTATTAAAGAGAGAAAATCTGATGATGCAAAAGGGGAGATCACTGCAGTGAAATCCTTGAGTGGGAATCGGGGAACAGGCTGTGAAGCAGAAGGAGAGAGAGAGCTTCCAGAAGAACCAGGGAGTTCATTCAGGAGGGACGCCGAGGACAGGAGTACAGAAGGTGAGAAGGGGAGTCATGCGAGGTCTGCATGGACTCTCTGTGAGGCTTCCCTATGGATTTCTCAGTGAAATAGGAAGCTGAGAATCAGGATTAGGATGGAGGCAGTTTTAAAATATAGAGAGCCATGGACTTGGGAAAGCAGGAAGCATGGAGGGCCCATGTGAAGTTCATGGTCAGGAACCTAAGGCCAAAAGGGTTGGGTGTTTTCTCCAGCACCACTGCATGCAGGAACAGGGAGGGTGAAAAAAGGTTTCTGACAAGTATTAAGGTTTTACCAAGAGGGTGTGATGAAGAGAGCCGTGACTAAGAGCATTAAGAGTACAGGAAGGTGCTTTATTAAGATTGATTGTGGAATTGAGCCTGGACAAGGAGGGAAGAGAGGGCAAGTTGGAGGTGGGAAGACAGCATGTTCATAGGAGTGAGCTACAAACAGTATTGTTGGAATTGTTGGAATTGATGGTGGAGAGCACAGCTGTGGGTAATCCCAAAGCCACCAAGTGAGACATGACCACCAGACTGCATAAGAAATAAGCAATGATGCATAAAGGAAAAAATGAATTTTATGCAGGTTCCCTGGCTTGGCTTTTGGCAATAAGGCTGCAGCTAATACAGGATTTTAATTAGGATTATAGTAGGCTGAATAAGGTCTCCCAAAGATGTCCATGTCCTGATCACCAAAACCAGTGAATGTCACATTTAGAGTAAAGACATTTTTCACAGGTGACTAATTTGTGATCTTAAGATGAAGAGATTATCCTAGGTAAACTGGATTGGCCCTAAGTGTAAACACAAGTATAAAATATAAGGAGGCAAAGAAGTCAGAGGAGGTAGGGCAAAGGAGGCTGAGATCAGACCATTACACTCTGAAGATAAGGGAAGGGGCCATGAGCCAAGGAATATAGGCCCCTTCTAGAAGATGGAAAAGGCAGGAAATGTTTCTCCCCTAGAACCACCAGAAGGAAGCAGGCCTTGAAATATCTTGATTTTAGCCACATAAGACTCCCAGCTTCCATTTTTTGAAGAGTATAAAGTGTGTGTTTTATACCATTAAGTAACTAACACAAGAACAGGAAAGGTTGAGTCTTCAAACTCTATACCTACCCGACTTCTTTGCAGAGCCCTCCCCCCACCACCTTTGTTGTGTTTCAAGCCAAAGGAGAAGGCAGGGGTTTTTGTTTGTTTTTTTGTTTGTTTTTTGGT